TTTTTTTTTTTACCAAAGATTCTAGCACAATGCCTCATATATTCTAGGCTCTTTAATCATTAAGAATATGAAATTAAGAAATATTACTGTTTAACACAAACGTAATATACATTCTTTAAAATTCTTATGTTTGATAATGAATCAAAGCTTTTTTTGTTGGTATTTTAAACCAGGTATAATGACCCTGAGAAGCTTTTGGAAACGAGACGCGGACGGTGTGGCGAATGGGCCAACTGTTTCACCCTGTGCTGCCGAGCCCTGGGGTTTGAGGCTCGCTATATTTGGGATTACACAGGTACAGAACATGGTATAAGCAGAGAGCCATGGGGCTTTGCAGACGTAAGGCTTTAGGTTTATCCTGGGCTCGTTATTTTCTGTTGCTTTCTAGCCTTAGTCTAAGCTTCCATTTGCCTTTTGTAAAATAACAATAATACCAACCTCATGGGTTTTTTGTGGGGATCACAAGATTTTTGCAGTATACCTAGCATTTTGCCTGGTACTTTGTACTGTAAACATTCTTTTATTAATTTACCATGACATTTTTTTAGTAATGCTGTTTCTGTATAGATAAGATCATGTGTAATAATGTTTTATAGAAACCTTCATTTTTGTAGGGATTAGCATAAAAGATTTAGTAATCTTAAATCTTAATATACAAAAAAGGTAAAAACTGAAATTTATATTGTCCTTATGTAGACATGATTCATGTGTTGTCTATATGTTAAAAGGTTGTTTTCCTTGCTCTTAGACTTTTACTTGTGTTTCTGTTGTTTTTTTATTTTTTTTTTTGTAATACAGTGAGACTTTCATTTATAGTTATTGTTCTCTTACAATCAAACATAGAACATCAATAATCCAGCATCCTCTGCTAGGCCTCTTGCTGGTTGTGAGTCTTAAAGGTCAAGAGAGACTGCATTTTCAAAAGTGGCATTAACTTCATCACATTAGCATACTGATCCCTATGTTTTTGATGTTATTGTTCAGTGTGTTCACCTTTGGAAAAGTGATGTCTCACATTATTTTCAATGGAGCCTAAAACTATTAAAGGAGATACTCCAAAAACATTTTGAAGGATTTCAAAGAGACAGAAAACACATGTTCTAGAGTCTTGCGTGCCACCAAATGCTCAATCTTGTTAACCAAAATTTATAATATTGCAAATAACTTTATTATGTGATTTTTATCTTAGAAGTTTGTATTTAGTTATTGGAAGCCATTTTAATTTTATAAACTGAACTTTTTTCCCCCCTTTTTTCCTGTTGACTTCTCATCTCTGACTTGAGTAGACCATGTTTGGACAGAAGTCTATTCCCCTTCCCAGCAGCGGTGGCTGCACTGTGACGCATGTGAAGATGCCTGTGACAAACCACTCCTTTATGAAGTAGGGTGGGGCAAGAAGCTTTCCTATGTCATAGCGTTTTCCAAAGATGAGGTAGGGCATAAGAGGAAAGTTTTTTTCTAAGAATAAATTATANAAGACATCCTCTTAGTCTAGACCTATATGTAATCTTTATAAGAGAAGAAATCTGTTTGTACAGAAGATTTAAATGTCCAATTTTTTGTTTGTGAACCTACTATTTTTAAAGATAAAATACACCTACATACCTTTCAATACGGGGTTACTTAAATTACGACAATCCTTAAGTCAACATTTTTAGCATCTGTTAAAAATGATGATGTCTATTTTGACATGAGGAGAATTATTATGTGGGAAGAAAGGTAAACTGAAGTTAAACCACATGTCGTGTATGTGTATAATATTTCAATTTTTCTTATAAAAATGCACATATGTAAATATGTTGATTTAAAGTTGGTCTAGAAATCTATACACAGACATCTTAGTCATAATTCCCTCTGAGTGGTGAAATTATAGGCGATTTCACATTTTTTGTACCATTCAGTATTTCCTGAAATATTTTTTGCAACATTTATTACTTTTGTAAATAGAAAAAAGAGGTTTCTTTGTAAGATACAAGTTTATTGAAGTCACAAGTTGATTAAAACTATCATTAAAAATTTATTAAACAGAACTTTTGTCTTTAAAAACAGGTTCCAAATTTAAAAGCCACAAAGCAAAGGGTGGCATAAAGGTAGAGGGAGGGTTAGTGGGCTTGGCAAGCGTTGATCCAGAAGGGATTGCTAATCCAATTTCCACTGATTGTGTCACAGGATTTGACAAAATATACACCTTGTACTTTTTTTCTTATGAAGTCTTAAATATATCTCACATTAGAAACCAAAATAATTTGAATTCAAGTATGATTAGTAAAGAAAAAAATCTTTTTTTATCTGAAACATACAGATTTCACATTTTAAACTTCCATTTATACTCCAAATAACTTTAATTCTCTAGCAATTAAGTACTGCCTTATTTATGTACATGGTTGCTCAGCTGCTTGTAATCGCCATGCAATCAGCGAACTTCTATTTTTATGACTTAGTTTCCTTGGAGTTGTGCCAATGAATATGTAAAGAAATAGGCAAGAACATAAACTTTATCATTCAAGGTCATTTGAGTGCCATTAAAAACCACAATGCATGAGGTAATTTACAGATTGAAAAGTATTCAATTGAAAATCAAAATTCTCTGGATGAGTTCATACCCTCTCAGTAAATGAAAATATGCATTTAAGAGAAGATTCCACTGTGAATACCTCATTTTTATAAGAATTCTTTCAAATAAAAACGGAGACATTTCGTTTTTTTATGTTTCTATATCAGTTCTGGTAAAGGAGCCTGTTCCTCCTTGTTGTGAATACCGGGGTTTCTCATCACATCTGCGTCAGGTTTCTCTTGTCATCTGTGGCTCTCGTTCCTTCTGTTCCTGGAGGAGACGGACCTGCTCTCAATAAAGGCCAGTCCCTCTTCTGTGCCTGTGTCTCTTCTCTGTTCACTAGGGGTCTCACATGGACTCTACCCAGTCTTGAACCTCTGCATTTCTTGGGAAGTCTTCTCACTGACATTTAAACCTTGGCTTTAAGTCCCGCTGTCATCTAAGGTTGGACCATTGGCATCAGAATAATTTGGACGTACAGATTCCTCCTGGATATCCAGGCCGACAGAACCAGAAAGGGAGTGGGGGATCTTGGGTATCTGTATTTTTCACAAGCAGGTTAATGTTTAAGAACCTTTTCTGTAAGCTCTCTTATAAACAAGCGAGCACACAAATATCCCTGAATCCTGTGTGTCCTGTATCTCTCACTTCCTCTTTATAGCAGGTTTTAAGAAGGAGTCCTCAGTACTTACTCATCACTGCATGTTCTCATATACTTGTCTACCGGGTCCCCATACTTGAATTATGTGCCCTATGAGTAAAATGGTTTTGAGCATATCCTCCCAATCTTTTTTTTTTTTTTTTTTTTTTTTTTTTTAAGCTGAGCCATCCTGCTACCTGTTGGCAGCTCAGCAGCTGCTCAGCTCGGGCCGGGCATCGAACTGCTGTTGCTCAGAGCTCCCAATCTATTTTTGTTTATAAATTATATACATGTACGATTATGCCAATATGCTATGTACATGATAAAACAATGTAAAGAGCTAAAATGAATATTTTTCATTTAAAAAAAATGTACTAACAATGTATAATTTAATGACTGTGGCTATGAATCTATTCTAAATAGTCTTGATAATTTTGAATTTAGGGGACTAACTTTGTCAGATCTCAGTAGATTATGATTTTTTTTTTACATTAAAATGTAGCTGCTGAAGGACTCATACGAAAACAGTAAACGATGTGTTAGCCCTGCGGTTTTCTTCTTGTTTAAATGTGCTTGCATTATTAGTATTAGCCTCAATGCCTAGAGGTCTTTGTAAACTTTTTTAAGCCAGGTGGGAGGGTTAATTTAATTAAATTTTCATTATATAATCTGTAAATCCACTTAACCAGGCACATTTAAACTGTAAAAATTTGTAACGTTATGAGAGTAGAGTAGAAGTGAGTGTGTCAGATTTAACCCCTCTGCTTTGCGGTACTTTCTTCCTTCAGGAAAGCTGCTATAGCCTGAGAGGGAGCCCCTGCTAATCCAAATATTAAATATGATTTTAACTTACTTGCTTAACTTTTTGGACAAAATGTAAATACAAGTTCTAATACTTTCTGTTCATATTCCAGTGGATCATTTTTTTGTTTGTTTGTTTTTATTACTAATTTTAGGTGTACAAAACAATGCAATAGTTACACTTTTCACATCTCACAAAGTGACCACCCCCCTCCCTCAGTCGACTGCCCCCCACCCCCGATATCATACGTATCTATCACAAGTCCATCAACTCCACTCATCCCNTTTTTTTTTGTAATACAGTGAGACTTTCATTTATAGTTATTGTTCTCTTACAATCAAACATAGAACATCAATAATCCAGCATCCTCTGCTAGGCCTCTTGCTGGTTGTGAGTCTTAAAGGTCAAGAGAGACTGCATTTTCAAAAGTGGCATTAACTTCATCACATTAGCATACTGATCCCTATGTTTTTGATGTTATTGTTCAGTGTGTTCACCTTTGGAAAAGTGATGTCTCACATTATTTTCAATGGAGCCTAAAACTATTAAAGGAGATACTCCAAAAACATTTTGAAGGATTTCAAAGAGACAGAAAACACATGTTCTAGAGTCTTGCGTGCCACCAAATGCTCAATCTTGTTAACCAAAATTTATAATATTGCAAATAACTTTATTATGTGATTTTTATCTTAGAAGTTTGTATTTAGTTATTGGAAGCCATTTTAATTTTATAAACTGAACTTTTTTCCCCCCTTTTTTCCTGTTGACTTCTCATCTCTGACTTGAGTAGACCATGTTTGGACAGAAGTCTATTCCCCTTCCCAGCAGCGGTGGCTGCACTGTGACGCATGTGAAGATGCCTGTGACAAACCACTCCTTTATGAAGTAGGGTGGGGCAAGAAGCTTTCCTATGTCATAGCGTTTTCCAAAGATGAGGTAGGGCATAAGAGGAAAGTTTTTTTCTAAGAATAAATTATATTTTTTTTACAGCTTTTTGAAGGTATAATTAACGTATAGAAAGTGGCATATATTTAAAGTATACAATTTAATAAATTTTGTCATTTATATACAGCCATGAAATTACCTTTACAAAATCAAGGTTTGAACATATACACTATCCCTGGAAATTTTCTTATGTTCCCTTGTTACCTCTGCTTCTTGCAACCATGGATCTGCTTTCTGTCACTATAGATTAATCTGCGTTTCTAGTTGTATGTAAATACAATCATATAATATACAGATGGTCCTACTTATGACTATTGACTTAAGGATAGTTCGACTTAATGATTTTTCAACTTCACAATGGTGCCAAAGCAATACGCATTCAGTAGAAACTGTACTTTGAATTTTGAATTTTGATCTTTTCCTGGGCTAATGATATGCAGTACTGTACTCTCTCGTTATCCTGGGCGGTGGCAATAAGCTTCAGCTCCCAGTAAACCATTCGATCACAAGGATAAATAACCAATACTCTACTGTGTATTAATATTAAATGCATTTTCAACTTATGATATTTTCAACGTAATGATGGATTTATTGGGATATAACCCCATCACAAGTTGTAGAGCATCTAGAACCTCTTTTAGGTAGGGCAAGGGGAGTCTGGTTTCTTTTATTCAGTATAATTATTTTGAGATTCATCCATATGTTTTCAAGTATCAACAGTTTATTCTTTTTATTGTTGAGTACTATTCCATTGTATGGATGTACCATAGTCTTGTGTATCCATTCACCTGTTG